CACGTATCTTGGTTGCAGGCTCTTCCCCAGCCTGTCGCTGCTCTGGTGTGTCTCTCTCACATGGATGTTTCTCTGACACGAATGTCTCTCTGTCTTTCCCTCCCTCTTCCACTTTCTGTAAAAATCAATGGGGAAATAGCCTCAGGCGAGGATTACCAACAAACAACAACAAAAGATACAGAACTCGACCTGCCTGCTTGGCTCAGTGGTTGAGTGTCCTGGTTTGATGGGTTGCGGGCTGGATCCCCAGTGTTGGCCGTGCAGGAGGCAGCCGATGGATGATTCTCATCACTGATGTTTCTGTCTTTCCCTCTCCCTTCCTCTCTGAAATCAATAAAAATATATATTTTTTAAAAAGATACAGAACTCTTCACCACCACAAAGGAACTTCCTATGCTATTCTTTTATATACCCCTTCCCCCATCCTTGTCCCTGGGAAATCAGTAGTATGTTCTTCATCTCTATAGTTTTATTATTTTGAGAATGTTATATGAGTGGAATCATATAGTATCAGCACTGGTTTTAATTGAATGAATTCCTATAATCTTGACTCAAATACAGGAAATTCTCTGACAGGCTGCTTATGCTAATGCTCAGCTTCCTCCATTCTCAGGCCCCCTCAAGCGTCTTCAGTCCCCGCTTCACCTACAGTATTCCTACGACATTGCTTTCCACTCCAACCGTCCGGCCTCACTTCTCCTTTAGAGAAGTCTACGTGTCTGAACTTACGAGGCTGCAGGAGAGCTCTCGCCAATTCCCGCCAACCCTTGCCCCACTATTTATAGGCCGGCTAATTTGGGCGGCCTTTCTCTCCTTCCTCCTGTAGCGGTGAGGTGACTTCTCAAATATTTGGGCAGAGGAGGTCAGAAGCAGATTTTTGGCATCTGATTTCAGCCTTGGATTTAGCAGGAGCCAGAGGAGTGGAGCCGGAGGGAGGCAGAAGCTGTGGGTGCAAAAAGGAGGCAGCTGGGGCTCCAGCGGCATTCTGACGCCGGCGGTGGGTCTGGGCCAAGTCGAGACCCGGGTCCTGTCCTGATGTTACTATCCTGCATTCTCATGTCAGCTCTTCCCGACTGTCTGTGGCTCTGAAACTCAAAGGGGGAGGAGAGAGCCTGTCCGGGGGACAGTACCAGCAGGGCACTTGTTCAGAGGCTGCCTGGCCCCCGGCAGGAAGTGGCCACACGTGTCATTCTGTAAAAACGGAGGCCCAAAGGGGTGTAGTCATTCACCCAGGCCTAGAACTGTGTCAGGGCCAGCAGAGGAAGAGCCCACCTGTTTGTTCGCCTGATTAAAAGTGTAATCTTGGACAAAGAAGTAAGAGAGACAAAGTGAGCATGTGAAGGGAACTAGGTAGGTCACATATTGGGGCTTTTAAGAAAGGGAAGGAGCCCTAACCGGTTTGGCTCAGTGGATAGAGCCTGCGGACTGAAAGGTCCCAGGTTCGATTCCGATCAAGGGCATGTACCTTGGTTGCGGGCACATCCCCAGAGGGGTGTGTGCAGGAGGCAGCTGATCGATGATTTATCTCTTATCGATGTTTCTAACTCTCTATCCCTCTCTCTTCCTCTCTGTAAAAAGTCAATAAAATATTAAAAAAAAAAAAAGAAAAGAAAGGGAAGGAGACAGAATCTCAAGGATACGGCAGTGTTTGAGGGACAGAGAAAACATTAGAGACATTGATAAATAGTCTGTGAAAGATTCCAAGAACCAGGCCCGGAGCAGCAGCTGCCAGGCTGGGAGCGGCCAGGCCTGGGGGAGCAGTCGGGTCGGGTGCGGCCAGGCCCGGAGCAGCGGCTGCCAGGCTGGGAGCGGCCAGGCCCGGGGGAGCAGGCGGGGCTGGTGCGGCCAGGCCCGGAGCAGCGGCTGCCAGGCTGGGAGCGGCCAGGCCCGGGGGAGCAGGCGGGTCGGGTGCGGCCAGGCCCGGAGCAGCGGCTGCCAGGCTGGGAGCGGCCAGGCCCGGGGGAGCAGGCGGGGCTGGTGCGGCCAGGCCCGGAGCAGCGGCTGCCAGGCTGGGAGCGGCCAGGCCCGGGGGAGCAGGCGGGTCGGGTGCGGCCAGGCCCGGAGCAGCGGCTGCCAGGCTGGGAGCGGCCAGGCCCGGGGGAGCAGGCGGGTCGGGTGCGGCCAGGCCCGGAGCAGCGGCTGCCAGGCTGGGAGCGGCCAGGCCCGGGGGAGCAGGCGGGGCTGGTGCGGCCAGGCCCGGAGCAGCGGCTGCCAGGCTGGGAGCGGCCAGGCCCGGGGGAGCAGGCGGGGCTGGTGCGGCCAGGCCCGGAGCAGCGGCTGCCAGGCTGGGAGCGGCCAGGCCCGGGGGAGCAGGCGGGTCGGGTGCGGCCAGGCCCGGAGCAGCGGCTGCCAGGCTGGGAGCGGCCAGGCCCGGGGGAGCAGGCGGGTCGGGTGCGGCCAGGCCCGGAGCAGCGGCTGCCAGGCTGGGAGCGGCCAGGCCCGGGGGAGCAGGCGGGGCTGGTGCGGCCAGGCCCGGAGCAGCGGCTGCCAGGCTGGGAGCGGCCAGGCCCGGGGGAGCAGGCGGGTCGGGTGCGGCCAGGCCCGGAGCAGCGGCTGCCAGGCTGGGAGCAGCAGCAGCCAAGTCCAGAGCAACTAGGTCGGTAGCGGCAGTGACCAGACCCGGAGCAGCTGGTTGTGGAATGAACCAGAGCAACAGAGGCCAGGCCCTGAGCAGCCAGGCCCAGAACAGCTCGCTCCTTGCCTGCCCCTACCCCACGGCTGCTTCTCAGACATGGCTGGAAACTTTCGTGGGAACTTGAGGGTCTGCTGAATCAAGTGATGAAGGCTTAGATCTGGATGTGTTGAGTTAGTTCAGGACTGGGGTGTTGATCTGTGAGTGCCTTGGGTGGGGCCTGGATGAGGCTGGTTGACCTAGTGGGAAATGTCTTTTGTGTGAAGTGTATCATTGGGCATGTGGAGGTATTATTGATATGAGAAAATGTTAAGTAACTGATTTACTATCTGAAAAGGGATTTACTATTGGGGAAATTGAGGGAAGAAGAGACTGAACATAAACTGCACCTATGGATGAGGACAATGGGGGATGGGGGGGGGACGGAGGGTGGGGTGGGAACCTGGTGGAGGGGGGAAGAAATGAGGAACCTTTGTAATAATATGAACAATAAAGATTGATTTAAAAAAAAAAAAAAAAAAAAGATTCCAAGAAGGTGGACAGAAATAGAGTTTGGGATGAGGCAAAACGAGAGAGAGAGAGAGAGAGAGAGAGAGAGAGAGAGAGAGAGATGGACAGATGAATATGCACAAGACCAACACCCAATAAGAAAGACAACTAGGAGGAAGAGGGAAGGTGGGAGCAAGTGAGGTTCTAGTTGTGCCAAATTATTCCCTATCTCTCCTTCTGGGCCCATTTCTGGGTTGGAGTTATAAATAGCAGAGTTGGAAAATGCTTCTGTCTCAGCATTGGGAGGGTGGGGGGAGGGGGAGGAAGAGGGACAGGCTTGCTGGTAGGTCCCTGGGAAGTCCCACCCAGCTCCTGCCTGGGCCAGCCAGACGGGCCCTCGGATCCTCTCCCTCTGGGGTGGGAGATGCACGGTCCTAGGATGGGCCTGGGAACTGGACACATCCTTCCCGTCCCTCTGCCTCTTGGGTCCCATCTCTCATCTTTGCCTTCTTTGGCACCAGCGTATGTTCATCTTCCTTTATCATCGTCAGTCTTTCTTGTTTTCTCCATCTCTTATTTTTTTAAACAGAGCCTTATCTTTTTTTTTTTTTTTAATATATTAATCGATTTCAGAGGGGAAGGAAGGGGGAGAAAAAGATAGAAACATCCATGATGAGAGAGAATCATCGTGCATCCACTGCCTCTTGTAAGTCCCTCACTGGGCATGTGCCCTCGGCCAGAATCAAGCCTGGGACCTTTCAGTTCGCAGGCCAACACTCTGTCCACTGAGCCAAACTGGCTAGGGCTTCCATCTATTTAAAAAAATATTTTTATTGATTTCAAAGAGGAAGGGAGAGGGAGAGAGAAACATCAATGATGAGAATCATTGATTGGGTGCCTCCTGAACATCCTCCTCCTCCCTCCCTCCACCACCCCATCACACCCCACACTGGGGATCAGCCCACAAATCGGGCATGTGCCCTGATCAGGAATCTATCTGTGACCTCCAGGTTCAGAGGTCCACGCTCAACCACTGAGCCACACCAGCCGGGCTCATCCCTTATTGATCAAACTCTTGCCCTTCTTTCTCCACCTCTTTTTTCTCGTTCCTTTCTACCCGCCTCCTTTGCTCCCTCCCAGGCCTGCTGGTCTCTCTCTTTCTCTGAATGTTGTCCCTGCCGGGCCCTGGGGTGGGATGGGAGAGGCGGGGAGCGGGGTGCCTGGAGCAGCATGAGGTGCCTCATGGAACCAAGGCGAGAAGGGAGCGCCGGGACGCTCCCCTTCATCTCCTCTTTCTGCTAGCCTCTGTCTTCCCAGACTTCTCACCCCTGACCCTCTTTTCTCTTTTCCCACCCCCTTCTCTCTGCACTCCTCTCTCGCTCCCCATCGCCATTCCCAGGCGCCGCCTCTACCCCTGGCGGGCTGGGCAGGAGAGAGGGCAGGAGAGGGCGAGGGCGCCGGGGCGGGGCTGGGGGGGGCAGCGAGGCCAGCCCCGCCCCCCCAAAGCCAGCCCCCCTCCCCCAGGCCAGGCCTCCCCCTAATGCCAGGCCCCACCCTAATGCCAGGCCCCACCCTAATGCCAGGTCCCTCCCCGGGGCGGCGGGCGCCCGGGCATCCCTCGGCGGCGGCGCAGCACCTGCGGGCGCGGGGGCGGGCGGAGGGCGGGGCGGGGCGGGGCGGGGCGGCGCCGGGGGCGGCGGGGGCCAGCGGACTCGGGCCGCGGCGGCCGCAGTTGTGGGGCGGCGTGGGGCGTTGTGGGGCGGCGGAGCGGGGAGAGCCTTGGGAAGACCCGGGGACTCGGGGCCGCCTGGGCCGCCTGGGTCCCGGCGCGAGCGAGTTTCCCTGCGCTCGCGGGGAGCGCGCCTTGCGGGGCTCCCCCATGGCGGGGACCCCGGGCCGCGGTCCTCGGGGCGCCCCCGGGATTGCTTACCTCCTGAGCGCCCTGCTCGCCGGATTGCTCTCCTCCGGGGCCGCCGCCTTCAACCTGGATGTGATGGGCGCGCTGCGCAAGGAGGGCGAGCCGGGCAGCCTGTTCGGCTTCTCGGTGGCGCTGCACCGGCAGCTGCAGCCCCGGCCCCAGAGCTGGTGAGTCCCCGCGCCGAGCTCCAGACCCGCTCCTGGTCCATCGCCCGGTCCTCGAACCCCGCCAAGCCCCGGCTGTCCACCGACTCCCTGGTGCCGCCCTCGGCGGTCCCGGCTCTGCAGGGTGACCCTCAGCCCGGGCCGCGGGCTCTGCTCTGGGGATGCGCTGGAGAGCGAGGCTCTGGTCCTGGCAGGGACCACCTCCGCCTGCCCCCCACCCCTCTGCATCCTAGCCGCAGGCCTGAGGTGTGGCTTCCCTTCTTCAGAGGCCGAATCCCCAGGGAGGGGACTGAGCATCTGTCTCTTAGCACAGGAAAAGGGGGAGAGGGCGGAGAGGTAAAGGTGCCCTGGGAGGGGTGGAGGGTAGATAGACTCCAGAAGTGACTTCCTGGCCAGGGCATTGCCATAGGATGGAATGAGGGCGGCAGGACCCTGGGGGGCCAGGGGAGACCTGCCACTTCTGTGGCAAGACCACGGGAAAGCTGGGAGAGGACCGCAGGGGCAGAACACAGAAGTTGGAGCAGCAGGAGAGAGAGAGAGAGAGAGAGAGAGAGAGAGAGAGAGAGGGGTATCCAGGAAGGATGCTGGCCAGGTTGTTGTCCTTCCTCCTCCTCAGGAAATTTCCAGCTCCAGGAATCCCAGCAGCGGGGGAAGGCAGGGAGGAGTGAGGGGCAGAGGACGGTGATTCTGGTTATGTTCTAGTCAGTTCGGGACCCACGGAAGAAGGACACGTGTGTGAGGCCTGTGACCGTCAGGCTCCCTGTGCCATTCGCTCCAGCTGCACGGACGATTTTAAAAAGAGAGATGGGCAGGGGAGGAGAGCTTCCCGCCCCCTCCTGCCAGGGGCTTCCCGTCCAGGCCAGCCTACGCCGCACTAGATGTCCATTACTGGATCGATGCCCTCCACGGGGACTGTCCCTGCCCCAGCCGCTGGCCTGGGGGCAGAGGGTAGGGACAGAGCTCATTTCGCTTTTCCTGTGCTGGGAGGAGGGGCTGGCTCTGATCTTTCTTCTTCCATTATCCCTGTCATCAGGGAGCAGGGTCTCTTTCCCCCCGCTCCGCATGCTCCCCCCCTCAAGTTTGCAACTGGTTTCGCCTCTTCTTCGGCCTTCTGTCTGCTTCCTCCCTCATCTGTCTTCCTCCCTCCTTCTCCCATCTGCCAGAGTTCCAGAACTGGAGGCCTTTTTAGGACATGCTGAACTCTCCGAGCTATTTCCAGACAAATTCTAGGTTATTTTTAATAGCTTGGTCTCTTGTCATTCCCCCCTCATCTCTAAAGGTGGCCCCTGACTCTGTCTCCCAGAGTCTGGCGGAGGGCATTCCCATAGGGGCCTGACTGCCTAACCGAGATTTTGCTCCAGCAGGGGGCGCTCTGCTGTCTGGTGGCGCATGGGAGACCAAGTACCTTGCTCACCCCTAGCTTTTGAGTTCCAGGTCTCCTTTCCCAGCACGCAAAAAGCTTAGAACAGCGCAGAGCTGTTCTAATAAAATAACTCCCTCCTAGCCAGTTTGGCTCAGTGGATAGAGCGTCGGCCTACGGACTGAAGGGTCCCAGGTTCGATTCCGGTCAAGGGCATGTACCTTGGTTGCGAGCACATTCCCAGTGGGAAGTGTGCAGGGGGCAGCTGATCGATGATTCTCTCTCATCGATGTTTCTGACTCTATCCCCCTCCCTTCCTCTCTGTAAAAAAAATCAATAAAATATATTAAAAACAACAACACACAATTCTTGTATTGGGATCCACAGAGTTAGAGAAGAGCTTTAGCACCTTACAGCAAGCCCAGATCCAAAGGCTTGGCCAGCCTTCAGGCCCAGCACCCTCCGCAGAGGGCCACCCAGAGTGAGAGCCGGAGAGGGCTGGGCTCAGGGAGAGCCTGCAGCGCGGGGAGAACCAGGAGGTGCAGTGGTCGTGGGCTGCTCGCTGACCTCCGCTGAGCTCAGGTCTCCCTGCCTTCGCTGCCAACATGCCTTCGCTTTGCTCTCTGGAGTGGCTGCAGCTGTGGCTACTGTTCTGCCCAGAGGCCTGGGGTGTCTGGGGATCGTGGAAGGAAGCCAGGAAGGAGTGTGCGGCTGGGGCAGAGGTGGAGGGGCCAGAGGCTGTGTGGGAACTCTGTCCCAGGAAGGAGGGGCTGGTCTGTTCGCCAAGGGTGGGGCTGGGTGGATTCATGTGCTCAGCTCCTCTTCTCCCAGTAGACACCCCCTCTCCCCCCGCTTCCTCTCTCTTCTTGGCCTGCAGAGGAGATTTGAACCCTGAACACTGGTGGTTTGCTTCTCCAGACAGCACTGCTGTCTCTCAGAGATGGCTCCCGCGGGTGAGAGATGTGTCAGGATCCCTGCAGACTTGTCTGAAGGTTGGCCATGCCACTCAGCTGCTTCTTCTTCTTCTTCTTCTTCTTTTTTTTCATATATATATATTTTTTTTTCTTAAAAAATATATTTTATTGATATTTTACAAAGAGGAGGAAGGGAGAGAGATAGAGAGCTAGAAACGTCGATGAGAGAGAATTATTGACCAGCTGCTTCCTGCCCACCCCCTACCGGGGATGTGCCCTCAACCAATGTACATGCCCTTGACCAGAATCTAACCCGGGACCTTTCAGTCCGCAGACCGATGCTCTACCACTGAGCCAAACTGGTTTCGGCTTTTTTTTATTTATTTTTTATTAAATATATTTTATTGATTTTTTACAGAGAGAAAGAGAGAGGGATAGAGAGTTAGAAACATCGATGAGAGAGAACCATCCATCAGCTGCCTCTTGCACACCCCCTACTGGGAATGTGCCCATAACCAACGTACATGCCCTTGACAGGAATCGAACCTGGCTGGGACCTTTCAGTCTGCAGGCCGACGCTCTATCCACTGAGCCAAACCTGTTTCAGCAGCTGCTTCTTCTTCTTCTTCTTCTTCTTGCTCAGGGGTCTTCCCTCCCTCTCCTCCTCTTCCCTTTCTGGAGGGGTCCCTGCTCGGGAGCGGGCCAGTCACTGAGCTGGTGGGAAAGGCGTGGCATTGGAGCTGGGCCCGCATGCCTCTGAGTTCCAGCGCACCTTTAGCGTCTCCGAGCCAGCGTCCTCCTCGGAAGACCAGCAAACGAGCCTCTGGGGGGTTGTGGTGGCGGCTAAATGAGATGGTGTGCGTGACGTGCCTCGCCCCGCGCCTAGGTGGAGAGCGATAAACGTCAGCTCCTCACGCCCCTGGCATTCAGCCTCAGCCTGGCCCAGCGTAGGCGCCGAATAAACATGGTTCCCTTGTCTCACCAGGGCCTGGCGCAGGGCTTGGCGGGTAGACTTTCAACAAGTAGTTGTTAACAAATGCCAAATGCATGCCATGCTCTCTTCCCTCCTGCTGCTCCTCCACCCCCCTCTGCCTCTTGACGCTGGCTCTGACACGGGCTGACAGCTGGGCAGAGCCGAGGAGGAGTTGTGGGAAGGGCGATGGCTCGGTGCCCTCCCCTCCCCCTGCACCATCAGAAATGGCACAGTGCCCCACCGATGCCTGCCTGCGGCACTGCCCCACACAGCTCCGGGCCCCCGGGAAGCAGCGTGGGAGAGAGGCCTCGAGGCTGGCCCTGCTGCCTCTTTCCAGTCTCTCCTTCTTCGAAAAGAGGATCCCGGTCCAGCTCGGTGACAGTCCCCCCCCCCCCCCCCCGCCCCCCATTTGCTCCTGGCCTGGGGACTCGGCCCCGAGGGACCCAGGCAGCCTGCATTCCCAGCGCAGCCCTCTCCCAGGGAAGAAGCCTTGGCTGTGATTGTGGAAAATTGTCCTGCCAAGAAAGTTGTAGCTGGGAAAGTGTCTGAGGGGGAGGTAGAAGGCTGGGAGGGTGCGGGAGGGCGCGGGGTGGGTGGAGCAATGGGAGAGTCGTAGCTGTGGGGGCGGCAGGAAGGATGGGAAAGGGGTTTCAGGGAGTGGGGGGGGGGACGGAGGGAAGACTAGAGACCAAATGAGAAATTGGCCCCTGCCATGCTGCCTGCCTGCCGGCCGGAGTGGCTGATGGCATCCTGGGCTGGCAGGGTGCGGGGTGGGGTCTCTGGCGGGTCCCTGGTGAGAGGGCGGGGGAAGCAGGCCCATATCTAGCCTCTTGCTTGGCCTCCGAGGCTGATCCCTGGGCCACCTCGTGGTGCCGGTCTGGGCCTCTGTTACGCTTGCTCCCGGCATTCTCGGCATTTCTGGGAGGGTTTCCACAGCGCGGGGAGGAGGGCAGAGCTTGGGAAGGGGGCCAGGGAGTGGGTAGAAAGGCCCGGTCAGGAACAGGTGCTAGAAACAGGCGGTTCTTTCAAACTAGCAGTGCTGGCCAGGCTGTTGGGTTGCTGTGTGTGTGTGAGTGCGAGTGTGTGAGTGTGTGTGTATGTGTGTGTATCTACTGTGCCTGTGGTTCTTCATCCAGATAGTATGCGTATATGTAACATGATGATTACATGGCCAAGTATGTTAACTTGCCCTGGTCAGGACTTGGGAAATGGCCTTTTGGCCTTTGTTCTTAGTCCTTCGATCCTCTGCTTGGCACCGAGGGTTTGGGCCAGGGCAGCTCCGTGGAGGGGGAGCCTTCTGGCTGCTAACTCCTGCCTTGCCCCGTGGCACAGGCTGCTGGTGGGCGCTCCCCAGGCCCTGGCTCTGCCCGGGCAGCAGGCGAACCGCACTGGAGGCCTCTTTGCCTGCCCCTTGAGCCTGGAGGAGACGGACTGCTACCGAGTGGATATTGACCAGGGAGGTATGTGCGCTGTGGGAGCGGAGTGGGGGGTGCACGTGAAGAGGGGAGGAGAGGACTTGGCTTCCGTCCCCCTCCCCTAATTCCCAGCTTCCTGCCTCCAGCTGATGTGCAGAAGGAGAGCAAGGAGAACCAGTGGTTGGGAGTTAGTGTTCGGAGCCAGGGTCCTGGGGGCAAGATTGTTGTGAGTACCACTTCCGTAACCTATGCCAGGGTGGGGGGGGGGTGCGCGTGTGTGTGCAAATGCACGATGTGCTTACAGAACACAGGTTGGGCATTTGTGTGATGGTCTGATTTTCAGGACCTCAAGGAGACACGCAAAAGTATAAGGCCCCTGTCCTTATAAATTTAAACCACCTAAACATGTTATCCACTCATCCGCTTGTCAAACGCTTACTGAGAACTTGCTAAGCACCAGGCATTGTGCTGGCTACCGAGAGAGGATGTGTAAAGACAGGGAACAGCTCGGTCCATGCCTCAAGCAGCTGCTGCATCTGTGGAGATTCTCACCCTCTCCTTCTCTGTCTTTCTCTGTCTCATTACTAACATGCACAAATACACAATTATTATTTTGTTCAAAGACTTTAAAAATATATTTTATTGATTTTTTACAGAAAGGAAGGGGGAGAAATAGAGAGAAACATTGATGAGAGAGAGTCATCGATCAGCTGCCTCCTGCACATCCCCCACTGGAAATGTGCTCGCAACCAAGGTACATGCCCTTGATTGGAATTGAACCCGGGACTCTTCAGTCCACAGGCTGATGCTCTATCCACTGAACCAAACCGGCTTCGGCTTGTTCAAAGACTTTTAAAAATTGTTTTTTTAGAGAGAGTGGAAGGGAGAGGGAGAGGAAAAAAAAATCAATGTGAGAGCAAAAACATCGATTAGCTGCCTCCTGCACACCCCCTATTGAGGATCGAGCCTGCAACCCGGGCATGTGCTCTGACAGGGAATCCAACCGGCAGCCTTTTGCACGTGGAATGCTCCAGGGCCACAATGATTAATACGAGTCAGTATGTGGCAGAGTGTGGTTAATGTTAAGTGGGAGGACAGTCCCCAGATGATCCGAGCCAGGAGTGGCGAGAAAGGCCTCCTGCAGATGGGGTTCCTGAGCCAGGCTCTCAAGAATGACTGATACTCGGAGAGTGGAGCAGGGAGGGGGGCACGGTGATGTCCCGAAGGGCCAGGGCCAGGATCTGGCGTGGCGTGTTGGGTGCAATCATGAAGCCATGAGGCCTGTGTTCTGGTTTAGTCGTGCCCGTGGGTGCCCAGGGCACGGGAGTGGGTGCCGATGGGAGAGGGGTTATGACAACTCTGGGCTGGTGATGTCCCAGTGGTGCCCGCACGGGGTCTGTGAGCATGTGTGTGTGTGTGTGTGGTACGTGCCCACAAGCCAGCGCCTGCCAAGTGTCTGCGTGTGGGCAGCGTGGCTGGAGCAGGTACACCCAGGGAAACGGCCCTCCCTACTTCCTCCCGCAGACCTGTGCACACCGATACGAGTCCAGGCAGCGGGTAGACCAAGTCCTGGAGACGAGGGACGTGATCGGGCGCTGCTTTGTGCTGAGCCAGGACCTGGCCGTCCGGGACGAGCTGGACGGCGGCGAGTGGAAGTTCTGTGAGGGGCGCCCCCAGGGCCACGATCAGTTTGGGTTCTGCCAGCAGGGAGCGGCCGCCGCCTTCTCCCCTGACAGCCACTACCTCCTCTTTGGGGCCCCAGGAACCTATAACTGGAAGGGTGAGTCGCCCCTCCGGGAGGGGAGGAGGGAACCGAACCGTCCCCTTAGCGCAGAGAGGGGATTGCGGGCAGCACGGGGCCACCACGCACGCCCACACGTTCACCGCCACGGCGCCCCGGGCACCGCCGCGCCTCCCGCCCCTGTCATGCCAGCACACACGTGAATGGAGGTGTCTCCTCTCCTTTGCATGGCCGAGGGCTCCTCAACACGCTGGCATGAGCCCCCCACGCACGGCTGGCCCTCCTTACCGCCACACCAGCCCGCACCTCACCACGCACGCCGCCGCTGGCTGAGCTGGCACTCGGTGAGTGGGTGCCAGGTCTGTGGGACCCAGGAGCTTGGGGTTGGGGTGGGGGCAGGAGGTGGTGCTGGAGAGGAGAGGAGGGGCTTCCTGTGTGGCTGGCTAACCAGCGCCCGGCCTGAGGGGGCGCTGACGGGTCTGTCCTTGCAGGCACGGCCCGGGTGGAGCTCTGTGCGCAGGGCTCGGCGGACCTGGCCCACCTGGACGACGGGCCCTACGAGGCGGGGGGCGAGAAGGAGCAGGACCCCCGCCTCATCCCGGTCCCCGCCAACAGCTACTTGGGTAGGGACCCCTCCCGGCCCAGAGCCTCTCTAACCCTCTGCTCCTCTCTCTTGTCCCCCCCTCCACGCTCCCACCCTCCCGTCTCCGTCTCCGTCTCTGCGTCTCTGTTCTTGCCCCTCTGTTCTTGCCCCGTCGGCCTCTTTGTCTCTCGCGTGCGCTCTCTCCGCCGTTCCCTCTTCTCCTTCCCGCCTTGTGTCCGGCTGTGTTTCTCCGTGGCCCGTCTCCTGGACGTGCCTTCCCCGGTGTCTCTCCCCGCCCCTGGCCCCCCCGCAGGGTTGCTCTTTGTGACCAACATTGATAGCTCAGACCCCGACCAGCTGGTGTATAAAACTTTGGACCCCGCTGACCGGCTCCCAGGACCGGCCGGAGACTTGGCCCTGAATAGCTACTTAGGTTTGTAAGCGCCCACCCACGTCCTCCCGGGCCCTGGGGGCCTGGCCCGGCTTCCCCTCCGCTCCCGCTCCCCGGCACACGCCCAGGGGAATCCATGTGGGGCCCACATTTCAGAGACCAGCTGGGCCCGGTGACCAGGCCCCCAAGGGGCCGTAGAGCAAGAGCCCACCAGGCAGGGGTGGGGTGAGAAGCGCTACGAGGTGGGTGGGAACCACGTGGGAAGGAAGGAGGCTAGGCCTCCAGGGGGACCTTTGCTCAGGGGTGGATGGGGGACAAAAGCCTGCACAGGGCGTTGTGGGTGTGAGTTGAGGGTGAGTGTGGGTGTGTGCGCGCAGAAAAGGCTAGCCGTGCTGGTAAGTCCCTCTCATCTGCACCTCCTGCCTCCACCCCCTTCCCTACCCCCCAGGAGGAGGAAGGAGGCCTGGGAGATATTTGGGTGGATCTTCCCCGCTTGTCTCCCCCGCTCCCTGCGAAGACTCTCTCCCGGCTGGGATGGGGGACTGGGGGCGCAGAAGGTGTAGTGGCCGGAATGGGGCCCCCTGGGTGTGTGGAGGGCAGACACGTTCTCTGGGAACCGGAGGTGGGGCCTGCCCCAGCCCCTGCCCAGGCTGCCTTTCCCCCTCCTCCCCAGCCCCCAGGCTGGTCTCATTGCACTTCCTGAGCCAAACTCCAGTCTCTGGGCGGTGGGTGGGGCTGAGAGGCCTCCGGCGGGCGGAGGAGGCGGCTCTGGCGGCGATGCGCGGGAGGGTGCCTCCGTCCTCGGCTGCGGACCCGTGAGGAGAGGGTGCGGGCTGGGAGCCCGGGCTCTGAGCTCACTGGGCGGCCCCGCCTGCCCAGGTTTCTCCATCGATTCGGGGAAGAGTCTGGTGCGAGCGGAGGAGCTGAGCTTCGTGGCAGGGGCCCCGCGGGCCAACCACAAGGGGGCCGTGCTCATTCTGCGCAAAGACAGCGCCAGCCGCCTGGTGCCCGAGGTGATGCTGTCCGGGGAGCGCCTGACCTCCGGCTTCGGCTACTCGCTGGCCGTGGCTGACCTCAACAACGACGGGTGAGCGGGCGGCCGGGCGGGCCGGGCGCTGGCCCAGACGGCCCGAGGGGCCTCTGGCGGCTCCGCCTGACCTCCCTGGCGGGCAGGACCCCACACTGACTGCGCTCTCTCTCCGCAGCTGGGCGGACCTGGTAGTGGGTGCCCCCTACTTCTTCGAGCGCCAGGAGGAGCTGGGGGGTGCGGTGTACGTGTACCTGAACCAGGCGGGCCGCTGGGCTGACGTCTCCCCGCTCCGGCTCTGCGGCTCCCCCCACTCCATGTTTGGGGTCAGCCTGGCTGTCCTCGGGGATCTCAACCTAGACGGCTTCCCAGGTGTGCTGGGAACTGGAAGGGCTCAGGGGAGGGCGGGGCGGGGCAGGGGCAGGGGCAGGGGCAGGGGCAGGGGCGGGGCAGGGGCAGGGAGGTGCCTCAGAGGCCAAGGGGAGGGCTTCCCTCTCTGTTTTGTTGTTGTTGTTGTTGGCACTATTACAGATGTTGCCCATTCTCCCCCTAGCAAGGGGAGGACTTTCTAAAAAAATATGTTTTATTGATTTTTTACAGAGAGGAAGGGAGAGGGATAGGGAGTTAGAAACATCGATGAGAGAATCATCGATCAGCTGCCTCTTGCACACCCCCCACTGGGGATGTGCCCGCAAACAAGGTCCATGCCCTTGACCGGAATCGAATCTGGGACCCTTCAGTCCACAGACCGACGCTCGACCCCTGAGCCAAACCGGTTTCGGCAGGGGAGGACTTTTGAGGGCTTCAGGGAGGAGAGAAGCCATGTGGGTTCACACCTGAACTTTGCCATTTACGGGCTTTATGACCCCGGGCAAGTTACCTAACGTTTCTGAGTTCGTAACATTTGCAGAGAGTAGCTGAGAGGTTTAAAAATGAAGTGTGAGCCAAGACCAGTTTGGCTCAATGGATAGAGCGTCAGCTTGGGGACTTAAGGGTCCCAAGTTCGATTCCGGTCAAGGGCATGTACCTTGGTTGCGGGCATATCCCCAGTAGGGGGTGTGCAAGAGGCAGCTGATCAATGTCTCTCTTTCATCGATGTTTCTAGCTTTCTATCCCTCTCTCTTCCTCTCTGTGAAAAAATTAATAAAATATATTAAAAAAAAATGAAGTGTGAGGTCCGGCCGGCCGGCATGGCTTTGTGGTTGAGGCCTGATCTATAAGCCAGGAGGTCACGGCTCCATTCCAGGCCCACATGCCTGGGTTGAGGGCTAGATCCCCAGTGTGGGGTGTGCAGGAGGCAGCCGATCAATGATTCTCTCTCATCATTGATGTTTCTGTCTCTTTCCCCCTCTCTGAAATCAATAGAAATATATTTTAAAAATGAGCTGTGAGGTGTGTGAGGGGCCTAGGACCCAATGGCTTCCCGATGAAATGATATGGAGCTGAGTGAGGGAGGGACGGGGGGGCCCGGACCCCGTCACCCCGGCCCCCGCAGTCTGACTGCCTTTCTGCCCGCACAGATGTCGCAGTGGGCGCTCCCTTCGATGGGGACGGGAAGGTCTTCATCTACCATGGGAGCAGCCTGGGGGTCGTCACCAAACCCTCCCAGGTGAGGGCTTGTGGGGTGAGGGAGAGGGTGTGGGTGCCAGAAGGGGCGTAGCCACGGAGGGCAGGAGAGGAGGGGGGGCGGGGCGGCGGGGCGGCAGCTGACCCTCAGGACCCGCAGGTGCTGGAGGGCGAGGCCGTGAGCCTGAAGAGCTTCGGCTACTCCCTGTCGGGCGGCCTGGACGTGGACGGGAACCATTACCCCGACCTGCTGGTGGGCTCCCTGGCCGACACTGCCGTGCTCTTCAGGTGCGCGCCTGTCCTCCCCCTCCCTGAGGCCACAGGCCCCACTGCCCCCAAATCTGTGCCGAAGAGGAGCCCCCTCCCACCTCCCAGCCTCCTGTTCTCATGCTCTTTGTGCCCTCACCTCCCCTTTCCCCAGGGCCAGACCAGTCCTCCACGTCTCCCATGAGGTCTCCATTGATCCACCAGCCATCGACCTAGAACAACCCAACTGTCTTGACGGCCTGGTCTGGTGAGGCGGGATGGAGGGAGGGAGGCAGGGTGGGGAGCGCCAGGGCCCCCAGGCCCCTCTCCCTCCTCCATCTCTCTGCCTAGTTTGGCCCTGGGGGCTGAGGCTGGGTCAGGAGTGGGCAGGGTGGGGATGGGGCCTTGGCCCATCAGCCTTGCCTGACTCAAGAGCTACCTTTTTTACTCCCCCCCCCCCCCCACAGCGTGAACATAAGAGTCTGTTTCAGCTACATTGCAAACCCCAGCAGCTACAGCCCTGTTGTGGGTGAGTGAGGTTCCCTTCCCACCTCCCACCCCTTGTGATGTCAGGCCGGGTCACTCCACGGCGGAGAGAGGGGCCCCCGGGAACAGGGCCAGGTGGAAGCAGCTCCCTAGCTCACTGTCTCCTCTCCTCTCCCCACTTGCCAAAGCCCTGAACTATGTGCTAGACGGGGACACAGACCGCAGGCTCCGAGGCCAGGTTCCCCGGGTGACCTTCCTGAGCCGTGGCCCAGATGACCCCAAGCACCAGGCCTCGGGCACCGTGCGGCTGGAACACCAGCAAGACCGAGTCTGCGGAGACACCATGTTTCAGCTACAGGTGGACCCCTTGGCCGCTGAGGGTCACGGTCAGGGCATGAGCTCTTTCCCTGGATTCCTCTCAGCTTCTTCCCTGACACACGCACACCTCCCCCTGAGAGCTGGGCTTTCCGGGAGCCTCCCTTACGGGCTGCCCTCCTTCCTCCTCCTCCTCGCCTGCTGCCTTCTTATGTCTCCTGCCAAGTTCGGGACTCCAGGGAGATGGAGATGGCAGGGTCCATGGCCCCATCTGGTCCTCAAAGCCTACTCCTGGGTCTCTTCCCTGTTCCACCCTAGTCACTCTCCCTTCCTGCTCCGGTCGCCACTTTTCTCCTTCATCTCCCTAAACGTCTTTCTAAGTGTCAGAATTTGGCCTGGGTCTGGGCCTGGGGATTGTCCCTGTATTCATTTCATCTTTCCCCTTCCCAGGAGAAGGTCAAAGACAGGCTTCGGGCCATCGTGGTGACCCTGTCCTATAGTCTTCAGACTCCTCGGCAAAGGCGGCAGGCTCCTGGCCAGGGGCTGCCCCCGGTGGACCCCATCCTCAATGCCCACCAGCCCAGCACCCATCGCGCGGAGGTGAGCGTGGGTTCTGGGTCAGCCCGGAAAAAGCTGCCGGGAGGAGCAGTGACCATTGTCCCTCAACGGTGACACCTGCTCCTCGCTTGCCCAGTTCCTTCACACGCCCCCCAGCAGCTCCCCATGTCTCCAGGGGCTGTGACAACGAGACCACAGAGTGGAAAATGGCCCAAAGGGTCATGAGTTCCTAGTGAGAGGGGACAGCACTCTTTGATTCTATGGGTCACTCAGGGGCCCAGGCTGACGTGGGTCTGCCATTTTTAAAATATATTTTATTGATTTTTTTTTTTACCGAGAGGAAGAGAGAGGGATAGAGAGTTAGAAACATCGATGAGAGACATCTAATCAGCTGCCTCCTGCACACCCCCTACTGGGGATGTGCCCACAACCAAGGTACATGCCCTTGACCGGAATCGAACCTGGGACCTTTCAGTCTGCAGACCGATGCTCTATCCACTGAGCCAAACCGGTTTCAGCGGGTCTGCCATTTAAATGTGGCTCCCAAGGCCCCTAGGTCATCTCTATCCTGGTCAGCTGGGAGGCGGAGCACAGAGCTCCTTGCCTGGTTCTGATGGACAGTCTGGACGTGGCCTCCTCACTTTCTCTTCGCCCTCCGAATCCGGGACGCAGCTACATGCAAGGGAGACTGGGCAAACACGGTCTTGCTGTGGACCAGCCTGCTAGTCTCTACGGCGGCATCACAGCACTCCCATCGTCATACTGATGGGGACACAGCTCAGCGTGGCTAGCTGACCCTCCCAATCCACACAGCTGGCAAGCAGCAGATCTGGGAGTGGAAGCCAGGTTGTGTAATCCTAGGATCCTCGACCCCGCCATGTGGCTTGATGACACATTTGCGCCCTTTCTTGTCCCCTAGGAGTGACTCTTTCCTCAAATCTCCTCCCAGCCCTGGCCAAGGTGCCCAGTTGGCTGGAGCGTCATCTCGTACACAAAAAGGTGGTGGGTTCAATTCCTGGTCAGGGCATATTTTCAGGTTGCGGGTTCGATGCCTGGTTGGGGCACCTGCAGGAGGCAACCTCTCTCTTCTCTCTCTCTCTCTCTCTCTCTCTCTCTCTCTCTCTCTCTCTCTCTCATCTTCCTCTCTCTAAAATCAATAAAACAAAAAACAAAACAAAACAAAAATCTCTCCCCAGATTCACTTCCTGAAGCAGGGCTGTGGTGATGATAAGATCTGTCAGAGCAACCTGCAGCTGGTCCACGCCCGCTTCTGTGCCCGGGTCAGCGACATGGAGTTCCAGCCTCTGCCCATGTGAGGGGGCAAGGGGGCAGGTGGGGTGGGCAGGCAAGAGTTCAAGGAACGGAAGGAAGCCCCTTTGGGAGGGGCTGAGCCTGCAGAGAGAGGGAGGCTGAAGGCTGGGGAGACCTGCCAATGAGGCAGAAGATAGCAGACGAGGGTCTGTGAGGGGGCAGGGGGCTACCGTGCAAGGAATACCAGTCCTTCACAACACACGTGATAATGTGCACTTTACACATATCCCACTGTTGCGTCTTCACCACCCTGTGAGGGAGGAATCATTATCGGTCCCACTTCATAGACGGGGAACAGAGGCCTAGAGAGGTTAAGAGGTTACTTGTCCAAGGGGAGTCAGCGGTGGAGCTGGGATCAGAATGAAGGTCCCCTCACTCCCGTCCTGGATCTCTGGAACATGGGGAGCACCTGAGGCTTGGACAGGTGGGAGCAGAGGCGCAGGGAGTGGAGGCAGTGGCGTTGACTAGGGGAGGGAGGCAGGAGTGGGCGAGGCAGGGGGAGATCGTCTGACCTCAGAGTGAGCGGGATCTGACCCTCTAGGGATGAGGATGGGACAACAGCCCTGTTTGCACTGAGCGGGCAGCCATTCATAGGCCTGGAGCTGAAGGTCACCAACTTGCCCTCGGACCCAGCACAGCCCCAGGCTGACGGGGACGATGCCCATGAAGCCCAGCTGCTGGTCAGCCTCCCTGCCTCTCTGCACTACTCCGGAGTGCGGGCCCTGGACCCTGCGGTGAGGACCCGGGCGGGGCTGGCCTGGGGGCCTGCATGAACCCAAACTGACTCCTCCTCTCCCCGCTCCAGGAGAAGCCCCTGTGCCTGTCCAACGAGAACGCCTCCCACGTGGAGTGTGAGCTGGGGAACCCCATGAAGAGAGGTGCCCAGGTTGGCGCATCCGCCCTTATCCCTATCTGAGTGACCTCTAACCCCTGACCCCGCCTCAAGTTCCTGGCTTCCCTTGACTCTAATCCCACTCCACCATTGGCCTAGATCTCCTTCTACCTCATCCTCAGCACCTCAGGCATCACCATCGAGACCACGGAGCTGGAGGTGGAGCTGCTCTTGGCCACGTAAGCCTGCTGGGCCTGGGGGGGGGGGTAAGGTTGGGGGGCAGTGGAGTTGATGTCTGCCTAGAAGGGGCTCACCCCTTGCGGTGGTGCCTGTGCCCACCCCTGCCTTTGCCCACACACCAGGATCAGCGAGCAGGAGCTGCACCCGGTCTCTGTGCGGGCCAATGTCTTCATCGAGCTGCCGCTGTCCATTGCGGGGTAAGCCCTGCCCCGCGGACACCTGCGCTGGAGGGGCAGGCGTTGCCGCTCCCAAGCCCAGGCCGGGGCTCCGCCTCCTGACCTCCGTCAGGCCTCCGGCCGCCTCAGTCCCCGGTTGACCCCTCTTCCCCAGGGTGGCCGTTCCCCAGCAGCTCTTCTTCTCCGGCGTGGTGCGGGGCGAGAGTGCCATGCGGTCTGAGCGGGATGTGGGCAGCAAGGTCAAGTATGAGGTCACGGTGAGTGTCCTGGTGTGGGGTCCCTCATGGCCTCCCTCCCTTCTTGGCGCAGAGAAGTGTCTGAGACAGGTCCCAAGGGTCAGGGCCTCTACTGTCCGGCGAGTTCGAGGCCTCCCCCGGCTCCTGGGCCTCAGCCGTGGGCAGGCGTTTCCTGGTCACCTCTGGCGGGGGCAGCCGTGAGAGCCCCGGGAAGCTTCTCTGTCTGGGCCTCAGCGGGAGGGGGCGGGGGGACAGGAGAACGTGGGGGAGAGCGGAAGTCTCTCCTCAGAAGGCTGCCCTGGCTTGGCTGGGGCTTCCCGCACCTCCCAGGCACAAATCCAGGATTTCCTGGGTTTGGGGTTGGCAGAGTGGTGCCTAGTGGGGTCTCGGATCCTGAATCTTTGTTGAAACTGTGCTTCCCCTCAATACTATCCCCTCGATCTCTGTGATTTAGGGCCGCTCAGAAACCAAGCTCCCTCTGTGCCACAGGTCTCCAACCAGGGCCAGTCACTCAACACCCTTGGCTCTGCCTTTCTCAACATCATGTGGCCCCACGAGATTGCCAACGGGAAGTGGCTGCTGTACCCCATGCGGGTGGAGCTGGAGGGCGGGCAGGGCCCTGGGCAGAAGGGACTCTGTTCCCCCAGGCCCAACATCCTCCACCTGGTGAGCAGGGTGGGCGGGGCTGTGAGGCAGGTGGGCGGGCCTGAGGCAGGATGGGCGGGGCTGTGATGCAGGGTGGGTGAGGCTGTGTGGGCGGGGCTGTGAGGCAGGGGGCGGGGCTGAGGCAGGGTGGGCAGGGCTGTGAGGCAGGTGGGCGGGTCTGAGGCAGAGTGGGCGGGTCTGAGGCAGGATGGGCGGGGCTGTGATGCAGGGGGTGTGGGGCTGTGTGGGCGGGGCTGTGAGGCAGGGGAACCGGGTAAGACTTGGGAAGCGTGTCCGGGGGCTGGGCATGTGTGGGTGGTTGGGGGCCAGGAGGAAGGCAGCGGGAGGAGATACCATCTCAGGATTGCCGTATTTGGAGGGACACCCACTGGCCCCTTTCCCCACTTCCAGGATGTGGACAGCAGGGACAGGAGGCGTCGGGAGCTGGAGCAGCCAGAGCAGCCGGAGCAGCAGGTGCCTCCTGAGCAGCAGGAGCCTAGCACGTCCTGGTGGCCAGTGTCCTCTGCTGAGAAGAAGAAAAACATCACCCTGGTGAGGGCAGGCGAACGTGTGCGGGCAGAATGGGGGTGTGTGGGTGTGACAGAGGATGCTGGGGGCATGGAGCTCCGTTCAGTGAGGTGGGTGCCCAGGAGGCTGGGCTGCTGGGAGATGTGATGGACAGTCCCGCACACTTGCCAAGTGCTGACTCCAGAGCGGGCAGTTGGCTGTGCATTCGGTGCTCCTCACATTTATACCAAAGAGAACACGTTATTATTATTTTTTTAATTTTTATTTTTTTATATTTTATTGATTTTTTTTACAGAGAGGAAGGTAGAGGGATAGAGTTAGAAACATCGATGAGAGAGAGAATCATTGACCAGCTGCCTCTTGCACACCCCCTACTGGGGATGTGCCCGCAACCAAGGTACATGCCCTTGACCAGAATCGAACCTGGGACTTTTCAGTCCTCAGGTCAATGCTCTATCCACTGAGCCAAACCGATTAGGGCAAGGCCTTGTTTTTGACTGAGGGTTCTTGATTTACTTAAAAGTAGCAAAGTGAAAGACGATTGACAGCATTCAGACACTCTCAAGCCATTCTTCTGTCTCTGAAGTGTGTTGAGTATACGTTTTTAGGCAAGTAGACCATTAGGTGAAGGTAGACCTTTAGGTGAAGGAAGGCCAAATGTTGGTCAGGCCTAGAAGGAGCGGGGCCTGAGTCCCCCAGCCTCCTCTCCTGTCAGTGAGTCTGGGCTCAGCGTACGGCTTTGCCCAGTATGGACTGGGTTCCAATATGAGCTTCACCACCTACCAGCTTTGCTTGCTCTGGGACCTAAGGTAGGTCACCTGGCCGCTTTGAGCCTCCGAGTCCTAATTGGGAAAATGGGGATGATGACAATATGCGTCTTGCAGGGTAGTTGTAAAGCTTAAAGGAGGTAAGGACCTGGGAGGCAGTAGGTGCTCAATTAATGGGACCAACATTAATTCACATCAACCGGGAAAGCTAATCTGCCTGCTGCTGTTGAGGAAGAGCCCTCCGCCCTGCTCCCATCATTTCAAAGCCAAACAGCCCAGATTAGGGGTAGGGTTAGTCTGGGAAGACTTCCTGGAGGAGGGGAGTTTGAGGCCTGGTCATGAAAATAGAGATATGGGTGAGGAGTAAGGAGAAAAGGATGTGGGGGCTCATGGAGGGATGAATGAAGGCTCCAGGCAGGCTCTGTGTGGCTGCCTTTGTGAGATGCTGGGCCCCGGGCAGGCTCCGCCGCTCAAAGCCCTGCCCGTCTTGACCCCAGGACTGCGCCCGGGGCACCGCCAACTGCGTGCTGTTCAGCTGCCCACTCTTCAGCTTCGACCGCGCTGCCGTGCTGCACGTGTGGGGCCGCCTCTGGAACAGCACCTTCCTGGAGGTGAGGTGTGGCTGGGCTCGGACTGGGGTCCTCTTCCTGGCAGCCCCTCCAGGACTCGCTTCTTAAAAAATTTAAAAACATTTTCATTGACTTCAGAGAGGAAGGAAGAGGGAGAGAGAGAGAGAGAGAGAAACATCAATGAGATTGGCTGCCTCCTCACGCCTCTCACTGGGGATGGAGCCCACAACCCGGGCATATGTCCTGACCAGGAATCGAACTGTGACATCCTGGTTCATGGGTTAACACGCAATCACTGAGCCACACGCAATCACTGAGCCACACTATATGGGCAGCACACTTTTTTTTTTTTTTTAAATCTTTTATTGATTTCAGAGAGGAAGGGAAAGAGAGAGGGAGAGAGAAACATCGTTGATGAGAATCACTGACCAGCTGTCTCCTGCACCCCCCTTCCCCCCCACACTGGGGATTAAGCCTGCAACCCGGGCATGTGCCCCGGAATTGACCGGGAATTTGACCTGTGACCTCCTGGTTCATAGGTTGATGCTCAACCACTGAGCCACACCAGCTGGGCTGCAGCGCTCTCGTAAACCTAGACAGGCAGAAAGACCCTCTGTGCTGGGCACCATTCTGCAATTTCAGGGGCTGGGGGTGGCGGTGAGGGGCAGGGCCTTGAGGAGGAGTCTGCTCCCTGCCCCCTTAGGAGTACTCAGCCGTGAAGTCCCTGGAGGTGATTGTCCGAGCCAACATCACCGTGAAGTCTTCCATCAAGAACCTGGTGCTCAGAGACGCCTCCGCAGTGGTGAGTGGTAGGGCTGCGGGTGGGGGTGGGGAGCTCTTCTCTCCTGCCGCCCCAGCTCTGGCCCCATGAACCCTCGTTCCCCAGATCCCCGTGATGGTGTACCTGGACCCCGTGGCCGTGGTGGCAGAGGGCGTCCCCTGGTGGGTCATCCTCCTGGCTGTGCTGGCCGGGCTGCTGGTGCTGGCGCTGCTGGTGCTGCTCCTGTGGAAGGTGCGGCTGGGGGTGGAGGGGTGGCGGGGGTGGAGGGGGGGTGAGGGAGAGGGTGGCGGGGGCGGGGGCGGGGGGGGGCAGGGCTGGGCTTCCTGGGCATGGAGGTGGCCTTTCACGCGTGGCTCTCAGCCACCCCCTCTCATTTGCTCAGCAAACCTGCAGGGAGCACCTGCTATGCATGTGCCAGGGACTCTGGCAGGTTCTGGTGGCTTCAGAGACAAGTCAGGTGCAGCTCTTGGCTTCAGGGATTTGACGGTCTAGGGAGGGAGGGGAGCCTTGTTGTCAGGATGGGCAGGACGTCGAGAAAGTGCAGTGGGCGTTCTGAGGAGGGATGGCTTGCGGGCAGGCCCAGGAGCCAGGCCTTAGAAGAAGGGGGAGGGGTCCTGATGTGGGAGGTGGGGTGGGGGCGTCATGGAGGCAGGGAAGTGTGGTCTGGCCTCATTAGAGCATGGCGGGGTCAGGCTGGGAAGGAAACTGGCCTGAGGGCCCACAGCCCGGGGGGCTCTCCCAGGAAACTGCCTCTGGGACTGAACTTGGAGCCTCCACATACCAGGTTCCAGTGGACATCCTTGTAGACACCGAGTGTAGACAGAATCCAATTTGTGTCTGGGATCCACATAAAGGCACACTGAGTACAGGCCATACCCGAACCCACATGCCACATGGAGACCAGACGGAGCCATCGCCTGGCGGGAACCTGGCCGTGCTTGGGGGAGATGGCTGCCTTCATGAAACGGGACTCCCTGTTCCCGCCAAAGGGGGACGGGGCAGAGACAGCCCGTCCTCCCTCGGTCTCCCTGTCTCCCCCTCATTGGCTCCCCTCCTCCCTTGACATCCCAGTGTGGCTTCTTCCGTCGGAGCAGCCAGAACTCATCTTTCCCCACTAACTATCACCGGGCCCGCCTGGCTGTGCAGCCCTCGGCTGTGGAAGTTGGGGGTCCAGGGACTGTAGGGTAATTTTTGTTTGTGTGCATGTGTGTGTGTGTGTGTGTGTGTACAAGTGTGTGTGTGTGTGCATGTGTGTGTGTGTCTGAGTGTACAAATGTGTGTGTGTGTGTGTGTGTGTGTGTTAGTAGCGTGCCCAGCATTCAGGAACAGTCAGGGTGAAGAAATGAGATTGCATGAGGGTGGGGAGAGCTCTAATTTAAGGATGGAAGGTAATTTACGGATGAGCTTGTGAGAGTGAGTACACACAGCCGGGGGCATGCACAGGGGCGGGCGGGGTCTTGCAGTGTGAGCATGTGGAGTGCGGGCGGTGCCATGCCTGCCTTTTCTTGGGCATGAAGTGCAGAGACAAACATGCAAGGAGGCACCGTGCAGCCTGAGCATGTGCAGTCTGAGTGGGAGTGCAGCATGTTCAGGGTTTACGGAGGGGTGGGGTCACCACGCTCATGGGGAGAAGGCCCTGTCCTGAGGGGATGCTGCCAGTGAGCACACAGGCTGTCCATGTCTGTGGCCTGAGAGCAGTCATTCTACACAGGCAGGGCTCTAGGAAGCCGTGCTTTCCCTCAGATGTCGTTTGTGTTCTGGGCAACGGGCCTCCTAAAAAGCGTGTGCTGGGGAAACCTTTGGGGTTCCACCTTCACGCCCTCCCTCAGGCGCCACGGGAGACGTCCTTGGTCTTGCTCCTTGGCCCCTCCTGGTCTTCCTCTGGCCGTAAATGAGAACCTGGGGACTCGGCACTGATGGCGGCACTGGAGGGGGTGGCGAGGCTGCTACCCCATCTCCTTCCTGCTGCACGTGGTCCTTTCTGTGCCAGGGGCGGTGGAGCCAGGAGCTGGGCTGTGCTGGGCATCTGCCCCAGGGACCTCAGCCCCGCCACCTCCTCACGTCCGGCCCGGTGTTCTCACAGATGGGATTCTTCAAGCGGGCGCGGTATCCCGAGGCCACCACCGTGCCCCAGTACCACGCGGTGAAGATCCCGCGCGAAGACCGGCAGCAGTTCAAGGAGGAAAAGACGGGCACCATCCTGAGGAGCAACTGGGGCAGCCCCCGGCGGGAGAGCCCCGACGCTCACCCCATCCTGGCTGCGGACGGGCACCCTGCGCCAGGCACTGCATAGCCGCCTGGGCCCCGCGTGGCCCACGTGGCCCCTCCACCCCTTCTGCCTCAGGAGGAAGAGGGCAGAGTGGCTGCTGGTGTCCCAGCAGGATTTTCAGGATCTGTTTCCTCAGAGGCCCAGAACCCTCCTCCCGAACTTCCCCTTAGAACGCTGTGAGATGAGGGGGAGTCAGCGACAGGGTCGCGGGGTAGGGTGAGAAGGGCGCGATGTCCTGATGCGAGGTGGGGCTCATCTCTCCCTCTCCCATTCACCCGGTGTAACAGGACCCCAAGGACCCGTCTCCCCAAAAGTGCCTTAGCCCAGAAGGTTGGGGAGGAGGTGGCGTTGCTGACTCAGGGGCTCTTCCCTCCCTCGTTTCCCCTCTCCTCTGACCTTAGATTGCTGCATCAATCTAGTGGGTTTTGTTTATTTATTAAAAAAAAACACATTTGGAACAAACCTCTGGCCTCTTTGCTGAGTTCTGCTCACTCACCCTCAAGGTTTTCAGGAGAGGCCTGGCTCTCTCTGACCCCCACAGCTCAGGACAAAGGTGGCAATGGGCGGAGACCTGGCAGCAATGCATGCATCTTGAATTCTGTGACCAGATCCTGGAGAGGCATGGATGTGGTCTCAGAAGGAAGGAAGGAAGGGGGCATAGGACCTTGCGAACAACATTATTTGTAATCAGAAGCCTGGTGCTCGAATTCGGGCACCAGTGGGGTCCCTCCGTCTGGCTTGTGAGATCAGGTCAAAACTGGTTCTCTGACATCCCCCGAAGGGTTCTGGATTGCAAGAGGGCACAGGCCAGGCTGAGGGATCCCACTGGTGCATGATTGGTTTTGGGGAGTGACTCGGGAGGTTGGCCTGCTGGAGAGGGACAGTGGGAGGGCTCCATGTCCGGCTGCATGTCCAGCCCATCTCGCTCAGTCCTGATTGGCTGGACCCCAGCAGCAAACTAACCTACCAGTTGAAGCGTCTGCCCCCTGGTTGTCAGTGCATGTCATAGCGAGTGGTTGAGCAGCCTTAGCATATCATTAGCATATTATGCTTTGATTGGTTGAATGGAGGACCAGACACTTAGCATATTAGGCTTTTATTATGTAGGATAGACAAAATCTGGAAACAACCTATATGCCTATCATTTGGTTTGTTTGATGGCTGAATAGATAATCTGTGGTACATTCATACAATGGACTATCACTCAGCAATAAAAGGAACTATTTAAAAACTTATTGTTGAAAATATTATAGATGTCCCCCTTTTTCATCCCCATTGATGCCCTACACCACATATCCATCTCCTCTCCAGGCCTACCTCATATTGTCTGTGGCCATGGGTTATGCATACCTACATATAAATTCTTTGGTTAATCTCTTCGCACCTCCCCCTTACCTCTGAGATTTATCACTCTGTTCCATGCTTCCATGTATTTGGACCTATTAGTATTTTGTTCATCAGTTTATTTTGTTCACTAGATTCTACACATGAGTGAGATCATGTGATACTTTTCTTTCTTATTTTGCTTAGTATATTACTCTCCACATTTCTCCATGCTGTCTCCAAGGATAAGAGATCCCTGTTTTCTCTTTTCTTTTCTTTTCTTTTCTTTTCTTTTCTTTTCTTTTCTTTTCTTTTCTTTTCTTTTCTTTTCTTTTCTTTTCTTTTCTTTTCTTTTCCTTTCCTTTCCTTTCTTTTCCTTTCTTTTCCTTTCCTTTCCTTTCTTTTCTTTTCTTTTCTTTTCTTTTCTTTTCTTTTCTTTTCTTTTCTTTTCTTTTCTTTTCTTTTCTTTTCTTTTCTTTTCTTTTCTTTTCTTTACAGCTGCATAGTATTCCATTGTGTAAATGCACCACTGCTTTTTTATCCACTCATCTATTGATGGGCACTTGGGGGCTGTTCCCTGATCTTAGCTATTGTAAATACTGCTACTATGAACATAGGGCTGCATGTATTCCTTCTGATTGGTGTTTCTGGCTTCTTAGATTATATTCCTCACGGGATCACTGGGTCAAATGGCAGTTTCATTTTCAGTTTTTTGAGGAATCTCCATACTGTCTTCCACAGTGGCTGCACCAGTCTGCATTCTTACCAGCAGTGCACGAGGGTTCCCTTTTCTCCACATCCTCTCCAGGACGTGTTGCTTGTTGATTTGTTGGTGGTAGCCATTCTGACAGGTGTTGTTAAATTTGCATCACTCTACATCATTAGTGATTTTGAGCATTTTTTTCATGTGTCTCTTGGCCATCTGTATGTCTTCTTTGGAGAATTGTCTATTTAGGTCCTTTGCCCAATTTAAAAAAAAATCCCAACTTGAGGATATTTTCCCATTGATTTTTAGAGAGAGTGGAAGGAAGGGAGGAAGGGGAGGGAGGAGAGAAACAGTGATGTGAGAGAGACACATCGATTGGTTGCCTCCCACACATGCCCTGACCCTGGCTGGGGATGAAGTCTGCAACCGATGTACGTGCTCCTGACTGGGAATGGAACCCATGACCCTTCAGTCCATGGGCCGATACTCTAACTGCTGAGCAAACCGGCCAGGACTGTAGGATTCCATTTTATAAATTTCTACAAAATGCAAATGACAGGAAGCAGACCAGTGGTTACCTGAGGATGGTCTACTTCCTGTCATTTGAAGAGGGAAGAATGGGTCACAAAGAGGCACAAGGAACTTTCACAGCTGATAGACATGTTCATTATCTTGATTGGGGGGATTACATAGGTCAAAACTCATCTAGTTGTACCCCATAAATATGCACTCATTCTTATACCTCAATAAAACTAAGTATGTAGGAAATTAGGTTACAACCCACTTAATAAAATAGAAAATCTGTGAGTCAATAATAATCTGAATGAATAAATAAATAAATAAAAGGGAAGAGGCATAAAACCAAATATTACTGGTGGAGTGTAAATTGATATAGCCACTCTGGAACTCTTTGACACTGTCTGCTATACCCAACAAAACAAGGCATGGAATAATGTGTACAATGTACTTCCATTTCTGTCAAGAAAGGGGAATATGTATGCTTATAAATGAATATGCATCTAACTGTGTGGAGTGTGTGTTATCTGTTCACTCACTAGCTGCTCATTCACAGACACTCCCCATCTCCGGGAGATTCACAAAAGATGGGTGATGTGGAATTTAGTGCCTCCAGAGAGGGCATCTAAGTGGTTGGGAGACTGGGGTGGAAGAAAACTTCCCCTGTAGTTCCTTTTGTGAAAGTTTACCTTCCTAAAAACAAAACAACAAAATGCTTTAATGACTCTGAAAATGAAAAGACGCTTTTGCTAAGGAATGACTGCTCTCTTGTCCTCATTTCCCACTTTTCCAGCTCACCCAGTTCTTCACTAAAACAAACGAAACGTCTCACCCTTTCCATATGGGAGCAGACAGCAGCTGTCCCAAGGGTCTCAGCTCTGTACACGTGCTTTTTCCTCCACCAGAAACACCCTTCCTTCCCTGTCCTGGCTCTGAAGCTCCTCTTTTGTCTCCCATTTGGCATGGCTACTCCTCTCTCTTCACTACTCCTTCAGAAAGTCACTGTGCTCACAGTGTGTTCTGAACAGTCTTCAGTCTCTGGCATTTCCTTGTGGATTTGCAAATCTTTGTTCACGTGTCTGTGACCTCCTGAGGACAGGAGCTTCCTACTGTGGAAACCTCTCTTCCAGGGGCTGCTCCTGGCGCTGGCAGCTCTGTGCAGGAGAGGACACAGTGGGAGCTGTTCCAAGAACATAGCCTTGAGAGAATAAGTTGTTGTTGAGACCATCTGGACTGTGTATGTGTCTGAACCCAGTTAGGGCGGCCAAGGACTCAATCTAGCAGCTGTACCCCGATGGGCAGGTCTAGACACTCAGTACCTCACAAGCAGGGTCAAACATGAGCTGTCTGGGGCCTGGGGCTGGGCTTGGTTAAGTAGGTCCAAGCAGAGTCCAGCCAGGATCAGACCAGGTGTGGCAGGAGGTGGACCAAGATGGAATTGGTAGGCGTGACTGTCTGAGGCCTGGGTCAGTGAGCCTGGGCCAGGAGGAGGTTCAGAGGAGACAATTCCTGTGGTTGGGGCAGGGACCGGGGCTGGGCCCTCAGCTTCAGGAATGGGGCGAGGCTCAGGGTTGGAGTAAGGGTCAGAAAGTTTAGTGTAAACATCATTCTCGGTTGTCCAAAGCAACACTTTTACATGTTGAAGGGGTGGCTGTGCTAAATGCTCTGCTTTGCACGGCAATGGGCAGACTTTTATCTGCGGTCTCCTCTGGTCAGAAGGACAGCTCACAGGGAGCTCGGGTGGAGGGGCAGAAGAGCATGTGCCCTGCAGTGTGCTCTTGTCACCTGGATTCGCTGGTGTGACTTGTGCATTCACCCTCTTGTGTGCAAATATGATGCGTTGGTATTTGATAGTGAAAATAATGGACGCCATCAGATATGAGTGAAAATGTGAACGGTGATCTGTGCTAAGAAGTACTGAGGCCTCCCCTTCTGTGAGGGGAGGGGATTGTGGATCAGAATTCAGAGTCTGCACCTGGCCTGGGTGGGGCTAAGTGACCTGTGCAGCCAATGCACACTTTGGAACAAGTCAAAGGTTCCTTAGCAGTCATGTTAAGGTCATCATTTTGCAAGAAAGTACTGTCAGAATATTTAAAAAAAAAATTTTATTGATTTTTTACAGAGAGGAAGAGAGAGGGATAGAGAGTTAGAAACATCGATGAGAGAGAAGCATCGGCCAGCTGCCTCTTGCACACCCCCTACTGGGGATGTGCCCGCAACCAATGTACATGCCCTTGACCGGAATCGAACCCGGGACCTTTCAGTCTGCAGACCGAGGCTCTACCACTGAGCCAAACCAGTTTCGGCAGAATATATTTAAAAAATTTTTTTTTTTTATTGATTTCAGAAAGAAAGGGAGAAGGAGAGAGAGATAGAAACATCAATCATGAGAGAGATTCATCGATTGGCTGCAACCCAAGCATGAGCCCTAACTAGGAATCAAACCATGACCTCCTGGTTCATAGGTTTATGCTCAACC